CATATGTGACTGTATTATTATAGTATAGTATTTGTTATTGGAGGCAAAAAGACGATGTCACGCTAAAGAATGTCGCTTTAAATTCACATACAACTTTAATAATACAACAGAAACAGAGTTCGTAAATAATTATGAAACTTGCCTAAATTGGAAAATTTAATAATAGCAAAATATATTCATGAGAGCTGAAGCTGCGGTGCGCGAAATTATATTGTCTACGTAAGCATTGCTGTTCAAAGTCGGCTTGTTAAGAATAATTTAACGTAACACTTGTCAAAAGTTTGTACTTGGCATATAATTTTGTATCGCCTTTTCAATAGAGTAAAAATAAACAAGAGTAAAACACTTATTCTTTGATGTTGTCCGCACTTATTTTAGATCACTTTCGAGTATTGGGCATTTTATTTGAAAACGATCTAAAAATAATTTGCTTTTTATAAAAATACGAAATTATTTATAGTATCTCTATCTATCTCTAGTATGGATTCCTAGGGATATCGTTTCTAAATTATGTATGAGACTAAAAAGATTCAGAAGAGAGAAGGAAAGGTGGGCGAACTTATTTTTTTTTTTTGTTTTACTTTTTTTACTATATTAAGCCAGCGCTTAACTACAATCTCACCTAATGGTAAGTGGTGATGTAGCCTCAAATTGTGAAGCACACAAAAGCTTATTCACTCTTGTCCTCAAGACACCTACGTAGTAATTATATGTAAAGACAGATGCTTGCAACTTGTTCCACTCCTTTGTTGTACGCATGACTACGATGTTCGAATGCGTGGTAAGTCAACAACGAAAGGATGGATACTGGCTGAACGTCTAGTTGACCAATAGTGGAAGTGAGAGTGAGAAATTAAGCTATGCAATTCCTGCGCATACTATCCGAATTGCGTCCTGTGGAACACCGAAAGGCTGGCTATTTTGCGGCTGTGTTCGAGACTGGTGAGGTTAGTTTTAACCGGATTCAGGTCATCAATAAGCCTCTTAACACGACTTTTCATTAAGTCCAAAGCTGCTAGGAGGTTTTTGCAACATCAGCTCATATATAGTAGCAATATTACCAGCCTATATATGTTAGAAATACCACCAGCCCATATATGATAGCAATTCTCCACGCACAACCGGACTTGCGCTTTATATACGTAGAGCAAGCAGCTGTCCCGGCTTGAAATACCACCGCACCTTTGCAAGGACTTTCAAGGATAGCAACATTGCTTCCTTGCTTACTTTCTGCATTGCAAAATTGCATCAAGCGTCAACTCAAGGAGAACAAATGGCAGACAACGTCGCAGCGCACACAATTGTCAATACGAGTAAAATTAGAAATAAAACAATTCTACGAATAAAAATGATTTATCTATCGATATAACGTAACGGTGGTCACAAGTATTAGACCTGACTTCTTATATTAGGCCAAACATTTATATGAAAAACTTTTGTATAATTTCATTTTTTTTCTTTAATAACTTTGAAGGTACAATATTGACATTTCAAAAACACATGCCATGTTTTTGGCCTCTTAAAAGCTCAAAGTTAAACAAAAACAACTATTATGACTTCCTCAAGAAGCAGAAAATTGTTATTGCAAATACAGTTACACATATACTACAATTTCCATGGTGTTATAATGTTTTATTAAAAAATTAAAAAAGACTTAAATTATAACAATAAAATTATATCATGATTTCTTATCTTTACGCGAACACTGCACATTGGTTAAAACTACTTTTACGGATTTTATCGCGCTTAATTATGTGATTAATAATTCCTGAAGTTTCGAGTGCTTTTCAGCACCCATAGTCAGTCCTAGTTATAATTGAGATGCAGTCTTCAACAAGTAGGCATGTTCCAGGAAGTCTGCAGTTCGTGATCATGTCCAACACAGCCTCAACCATTACATCAGTTTTTATAAACTTCAAATCCTTGCGAAAGAACATCGATTCCTACCAAGAATGATACGTGAGGCTATTGAAATTAAAAACATCCTGATGTCAGAAGAGAAGGACACTGGGTAATTACAGGTTACCACCTAATTGGAAACCTGTAATTAACAAAATTAAAACTAAACCTAAGCATACCACTGCAAGACTTTAAGACACAGTAAATTCATTCGGCGTAGATAGGACTATAAATAATAATTAAAAAGCTGAAGGTACTCCAGGTTAACACTGATATCGGGACGTCAGTCAACTCAGTCCGCCGTGAACATGCTCGAAAGCACTCGAAAAATTGCGAATTAAATATCAAATAATTAAAGGCGATAAAATACTTAAAAGTAGTTTTAATAAATAAAATTATACGTATAGTTTTTAGCAACTTCCAATTCTATTGTTGTCTTTTATTTTGGTACTAATATGTAAGGGACGTACTAAAACCCTATTATATAAAATTTCCTATTTTTACTGCAGATATTATAGGAATTCCATTTTAACCCCAGGAGTGACAACGCCTCTGCATCAGGGATAGATGTCTATGGGCTTCAGCATCCACTTACCACCAGGTGGACTGTGTGCTCGTTTGCCACCCATATTTTGTAAAGAAAGGTTGGAGAAGAGTCTACTGCGGTGCCATAATGTGTTTTTTCCTTTCTCTAATTTTATTTCAACGCCAAATACGAGTTAGCACTTAAAACTTCAGTGGTATGGTTAGGTAGGTAATCGGGCCGTAATGTACATACAAAACTTGAAATAAACATTTTATTACAAATTTTGCGCATTCGTGATGATATTCAAGGAATTAAATATAAAGATTTCAAACATTCCTCAAAACGGGAACAAATAAAATGTCAACAGAGTTAAAATTTCAAGCAAACGCTTTTGTTCTTACTATTCTATGCGAATCAGAAACAATGGGTCTTTCTTCAATTCAGACTTGCTATTTTCTAAAGATCGGACTTAATAATGTTTAGTGTATAATATATCTCTGCTTATTTGAACAAACTAAGGAAATACAAAAAAAATATATATAGAACAAAAAGTTTTTTACAAACTTTAAGGAAAGAAAGAATAAAATTTCAATGCCGATACATAGTGTACAGAGAAAAATAATTAAAGCCCTAACTTAGAAAGCTATAATTATGTGGAAATAATTTATGTTTTTTTTTAATTAAAGATGGCTTTTATTTTTATTATGAATTTAATTTAAAGCCTTTTTGAGTCAAGTAAGGAATATCATTAAATCAAGGTAACAATGAAAATATCGTCTTAAAAGTCACATAAAAATATTTTCCACCGTTAGATGGGAATATTTTTTTTTCTTTCAAATTAACAGGAAAGCCTGGCAGCGTTACCTTTTAAATATAAAAAAAATATTATTTAAATTGGAATACAATTGCCGAAGATAATTTTTCAATGAAACAATCATTCAATTTAGCTCGTAAGAATGTGAATGTTAGTGGTAAAATTCGTATAATTTTTATACAACATAGCATGGTCTTTTTGACAGATGTCAAATTTGCGTTCGTGACGAACATAAATTTTTTTTAATAATTTTAAAAATTGTTAAAAATTGACACACAACCCAAAAGTATTAAAGATTCAAGCATTTTCCGAAAATCTTAGTGGTTTTTATTGCTTCAAAGTAAGATTTATTAAATAGAAAAACTGAAAACAATGGACGCTCGTGCAATATTACATTTTTATCGATTTAGTAACACTGGCAGCACTGGCGCCGTTCACCCGCCTGGTCTGTTAGTACGAGTCACAGAACACTATTACGTACGAGTGCGACAGTCTTTTATGCGTCGCGTCCCGAGTGTCTTGTTCTTCTTCTTGAATTATAACCTCTAGCTACTTTGTTGTTCTCTTGTTTTGTTGCGTTATTATTTAACTTTTGCTAAGTTTTTATTGTTGAATTTTAGTTTTCCTTGTGAACTTTTGTTAACCATGCCTAAAAGGGGTGAAAAAACTGTGCTTAATAGTAAAACGCGTGAGTTTGTAATTCGCTTACGCGATTATTTTGAGCGTAAGTGCCAAAATGGCGGACCTTTATTGCCATTGTCTCAAGTGCGGCAACGTGTAACTGACGCTTTGGGAATTGCATTAGCTATTGTAACACGTCATATCGACTGAAAAATTTAGCAAAGAAGGTGATGCGGAGAATAAGCTATCGAGTCCTAATAAAAAGCGAAAGCGTATCCAACCTACAAGCGATATTGACCGTTTTCAATGTGTGGCTATACAAAACCACATATATGGGTATTACTCAAGGAAATAGTTATCCACACTTGACAAGTTGCTGGGAACATTTAAGAGAAGCTGATTTATGTGACGGTGGTCGAAACTCGCTGTTAAAACTATTAAATAAAATTGGCTTTCATTACTAAAAATCAAATAACCGCAAGATCCTTATGGAAAGGAACGACATAGTACTCAAAAGATTAGATTTTTTAAGAATAGCTAAAATATTTCTAATTGGGAGAAGGTTGTGTTTTTAGACGAAACGTGGTTGAACGTCAATCACACTGTAAAAGAAACATGAACCGACTATACGACCCAATCATCCACAAAAGTACCAGAAGGAAAGAGGGAGAGGCTAATAATTTGTCACGCAGGTACTGGACAAAGGTTTTGTGTCAAACTGTTTTCTGGCAAAATACTTTAAATCCAAATAAATTAATGAATACCACGAAGATATGAACTTCTAAACTTTTCAGAATGATTCTATAAAATTGTGGACAACTTGGACGGTTATCATATAATAATAATTGATAATGCATCCTACCATTCCACGCAGCTTGATAAGGCTCCAACTACGGCGAATAAAAAAGCTGTTATTATAGAGTCATAATAACGGCGTAATGCCGTTAAAAAAAGGGCGTAAATGCCGATATGACAATGCTCAAGTTCAAGCTGATTGGGCTGGTGGCCACACCAATGGTGCCAGTGTATTTGCTGGACGAAGCAGCAAAGCAACGTGGTCACACAGTTATCAGATTGCCACCCTATTACTGCCAATATTGCCATAGAACTGATATGGGCACACATCAAAGTTTTGTGAAAATGCGTAAATATTTCTTTTTTTCTTGATAAATATTGTAATAAATTTGCATTAAATATTTTTTCATAAATACTATAACATATATTGCATTAAATAGTATTACTTTATTCATCCCTTATTTCATTCACAGGACATGCAGCACGCAACAAAACATCGCCTCCCTTCACCGCTAACAAAATGCTCCGTTTGTTGGAAAAAGCTTATGGTCAGGTGACCGCTGAAAACTGGGCGAATGTTGTTCGACACGTGAAAGAAGAAGTGTTGTCAGACAGTATGCGCGATGTGCATTTCTACAATTTCGTTGAAAACGAATTAATTATTCAAGTTGGAGATGATGACACAAGTTCCAATGACGACTCCGACGATGAAAATCTTGGCTGTGCTTATCTTCCCGATTAAAAACTATGTTTTAAAAAGAAAATTTTATTTTATTTTCAACCTTGATTATAACTCAATATAACCTAATAACCGCCGTTGTAGCTCAGATGGTTAACGCTCGCTGTAAATATAACAGAACGCGAGTAACCCGGGTTCGATCCCCGCCGGCACCAATAAAATTGTTAATTGCAATTTAAGTGCTGAGTCACCACGTGCTCGACGGTGAAGGAAAACATCGTGAGGAAACCTGCATGATTGAGGAATAAGAAAAAAATATTTCGAAGACATTTGAAGTTCGCCAACACGCATTAGGGCAGCGCGGCGGACACTTCCTTGCCCTAAAAACCCTCTCAGAAATGAGGGGAGGCCTTTGCCCAGCCGTGGGACGTATATAGGCTGTAACTTTTCTTTACTTTACTTATTACCTAATAACAAAACCTATGGTCACTTACCTACCCAATGTATTTATATGTCTAGTGCAATAAAGTTGATTGTAGAATGAATGAATTTCACACCATCTCATCACAGTTACAAGTACCTACATAAACAGGTTATTTTTGCACTACTAAATATTTTCTGTTTCCCATTACTAGACCCATCCGTCAAAAAGGTCAAGGTATGTTATACAGAGTATAATTGTAAATATGTAATCGTATTTTGTAAATAAATATTAATAAAATAATTTATTTTGTTAATTTATTTTAATATTAATTTACCTAGAACTTTTTTAAAGTTTGCTGCTTTTTAAATGCCAAGATAAAATGTCGAATAAATAGGTTATTACAAACCAATAAAATTAATTTACTTATTAACAAGCTAAAATTTTTTCTAATAATTGGTTGTCTTAAATAGACATCAATTGCTTTGGTCTCACGAATACGAGTAGCCATCCTACAGGAACACAAGCTTCTTAGAGATGACACAAAATTATTGATTATACAAACATTAGATTAAAAAGTTACTTCCTCCCCCCCTTCCCCCCAAGTAGTAAAATAAAGCACACTATATCATTTCAGAACAATTGAACTTTTCGAAAATGCTTGCTATAAAATTAGGCAGAATCGGTCTGCATCCATCTTGTATGATTTATAAAACCATATTCCTATCAATACTATGTTAGTTCTGTCCTTTGCATATTTTGGGAGTTTTTTTTACAGAACTGCAGCTTTGATTAAAACAACTTTTGCGGGCTTTATCACGTTTAATTTTTAATATTATATATAGTATATATTATATTTATTTTTAATACTCGACGTTTCGGGTGCTTTCCAGTACCCATAGTCACGGTAAACAGTAAAGAAGCCTTCTTCTTTAACTTCAACAAGAACGCGCGTACGCGTAGTTGTTGCCCATAAATCACATTTAATTTGGGATAATTTCAAATAAAAATAGAAGCCTTATTTACTCGTATTTTCAAAATCTGTTACAACGTTATATCATTATTTAAATATTTGAACTCAAACATGAAGTTTGCAATCTTTTTGAAAAGACTATAAATTTCCATCAACTTACTGCATCCCATACCAGGTCGTCACTCCCTCAAATGGACACCCTACACTTTATAATGATGTTGATGATTTCCGCCTGTCAAAATAACCTTACCAAGCTACGATTTAACTGGTAGAGAATGACGACAGGCACTAAGTTCGTCCATTGCTATCTTAAGGCGTAACGAAAAAGAATTTAAAAAATAGTTTATGTATAACTTCAATATTAAATTTCAATATAAAAATTTCTATTTATTATGGCGCCAATCAAAATATTTATTCACGTACCAGGGACCTAAAAAGGATTACCAAAGGCATTAAAACACCTTTAAAATCCTTTTAGTTAAGATGTTTAAATAAAGAGTAAGTATAATTGAATAATGGACAGAGCCACCCTGAAGCTCTACAATGGCTTCAGGACGAGTAGCTCGGCTAGACTGGGAAAGTACAGCGTTCTTACCGAATATAGTGGCATAATACTGTTTTGTTTCGTATGGTGAGTGTGAGAATCGAAGACCCTTTTCACTGGTAACTAGGCATTCCATCTTAGTCATCGGGTTCAAACTAATCTGTATTTTCTATCTATTTCTATAGTCTGTGGATCACAACATCCACTTAACATTATGTGAACTGTTTGCTCATTTGTCACCATTCTATAAAACATTACTATGTCAATATATCCTATAAAAATAAGTAGTTAAATAAATATTAATAGATATAAATAAACTAAATTTATTTGTATCATAATAGGTACATTTTTTAAGTTACTAGCTGATACCTGACACGTTTCAGCCGCAGAAGAAATAATTATTAGAATTCGTTTTAAAATTGGAGAAATTTTAGGTATTATTTAGTTAGGAATGATAATACTTTCATTACAAAAATCTTTCAAATAAATTTGTAGATGCGATAAGCGCGCCACCTAAGTTAATTTTACTATGCCTATCACCTTCGCACAAATGCAAGCAATAAGTTGACAAGGTTTTAATAATGTCTGATTTAACGGTATGACAGATAATACAAGCAAACAAACATTAATTTTATATAAAAAAAGAGTGACAAGAAAACGCGCTAGGCAAGCGTGGCAACTATGGAAAGTTTTTTTTTTTTTTTGTAATTTTTAGTCGTTTCTAAGAAAACGCTCCTGCCCACTTCCTGATTTGTTTCCCTGTGTCGCCTCTTACGGTACTGACAGGGTGATATGGGATAGTGGATATTCTTATAGCTGCCATATAATTTAAATCATAGTTAAGTGATGATTTAAAGAAAATGCCATGAATCCGATTTTTTTTTTTCATAAAGTTGAAATGGCACACGTCCAACAAATAAAAAAGCTACAAATACGTTTTTATCTCTGAAGACTAAGTAATTATAATGTCCCTCAATGTCCTTCAGATCGAAACACAGCAGTATATGTGTACTGCTGTTTGGCGTCTGAAATTAGTAAGACTCCTAGACAGAAAAGAAATCTTACCTTCTAGAATTGAAAAGAAATAATGCCGAAGGCGGTAATTCGATAATGCGGTAATGTCGAAATAGACCGACTCTTCTACCACGTCCAAATGGCTACAGATTCGTTGCTACAGCAGATCCCCTCCGCAGAGATCGTGATTCTCGGCGACTTAAACGCCCATCACGCCAAATGGCTTAGTTCACGTACCACCGATCATGCGGGGAGATCTGTTCAGGGTTTTGACTTGGCATATGGTCTGACACAACTGGTTACTTCACCTACGCGAATTCCAGATATGTAGGATCATGCACATTCCCTGTTGGATCTTCTGCTGACCTCTCACCCGGACGGATGTCAGATTTCCGTCGACGCCTCTTTAGGCTCCTCGGACCATTGTCTTGTCTGGAGTGTGGTGCCACTCACGCTGAAATCGCAGTCGCATTCAGCAGGCTGCCGCCGTGTTTGGCACTATAGGTCAGCCGATTGGGATAGGATGCGTTCGTTCTTTGCATCCTACCCTTGGGGACGGGTTTGCTTCTCGCCGGACGATCCCAACGTTGTTGCGGATTCTGTCGCTGATGTGGTACTTCAGGGTATGGAACTTTTTATTCCTTCCTCTGTAGTGCCCATGGGAGGCAAATCTCACCCATGGTTTGGTCGCTCCTGTAAAATAGCATCATGCATCAAGCAGGAGTGCTACCAAGCCTGAGCTGACGCATCAACGTCCCAGGGTGTAAACACCAGCGCTCTAAAAAAGAAGTATAATTCCGCCTCTAGGTCCTTCAAAAGAGTCATTGCCAAGTCAAAGTCAGAGCACATAGGCAGAATTGGCGAGAAACTAGTTCGCCTTCCTTCTGGAACCCGTGCATTCTGGTCTCTCGCCAAGGCTGTCCAGGGGAATTTCTGTCAGCCATCTCTTCCATTTCTGCACAGGGAGGACGACTCACTGGCCCATACCGCAAAGGAGAAAGCCGATCTGCTAGGCTCTTTCTTTGCATCCAACTCAATTCTCGATGACGGAGGGAGTACGCTGCCAACCACCCCGCGGTGTGAGTGCTCCATGCCGGAAGTGCAGTTCACACAGCGCTCGGTTCGCAAAGCACTCCTCTCCCTGGACATCCACAAGTCGAGTGGGCTTGACGGAATCCCACCAATTGTGCTGAGGACGTGTGCTCCAGAGTTGGCACCGGTTTTAACGCGTCTTTTCCGGTACTCCTACTCCCTAGGCGTAGTCCCAAAATCATGGAAGACGGCTTTTGTCCACCCGATCCCTAAAAATGACGACCTCTCAGACCCGTCCAACTACCGGCCTATCGCCATCACCTCCTTTTTGTCCAAAACAATGGAGTCCATTGTCAAATGCCAGTTCATGAGGCACCTTGAGGATCAACAGCTGATTAGTGATAGCCAGTACGGTTTTCTTCGTGGTCGATCAGCTGGTGATCTTCTGGTCTACCTAACTCATAGTTGGACGGAGGCAGTATAGTCCAAGGGGCAGGCATTGGCCGTTATTTTGGACATTGCGAAGGTCTTCGATCGGGTTTGGCACAAAGCGCTTCTTTCGAAGCTTCCTTCCTATGGGCTTCCCGAGAAATTGTGCAATTGGATCACCAGCTTTCTTGCAGATCGGAGCATCAAGGTTGTTGTAGACGGTGCAAGCTCTGATTACAAGTCTATCAATGCTGGTGTTCCACAAGGCTGCGTGCTATCGCCAACGCTGTTTCTTCTGCATATCAATGATATGTTGCAAACCCGTAACATTCATTGCTATGCAGATGACACCACTGGTGATGCTCTGTACACCGGCCGTGCCAATATTTCTCGGAAAAACGTCTCCGAGTACCGGGACAAATTTGTGTCTGAAGTCGAGTCTTTGCTGAACAGAGTCTTGGATTGGGGGCAACTAAATCTAGTCCAGTTTAACCCTCAGAAGACACAAGTTTGCGCGTTAACCGCTAAAAAGAACCCCTTTGTCGTATCTCCTCGTTTTCAAGACACTCCTCTTGTTGCCTCAGCCAGTATCGGAATCCTCGGCGTCGACATATTGAGTGACGTGCAGTTTCGTGGTCACTTGGGAGAGA